ATCCAGGCTGAGCTCTGGAGTGAGTAGCCAGATTTTTTTCACATGGATGGCCCCTGTAGATCTGACCAAGTTGGGGATTTAGAGAAAAGGTCCGCATGTAGACTGGGGCACAAGGAGCCTCTCAACAGGACAGCGCAGTCAGGTGACAAATGGTTCCTGAGGCCAGCCAAGTGCCAGAAATGGCCTCTTAATCAATCAGAGGTCACTCGGGAGGCTCAGTCCAGACTGCTCCCACCCTGGGAGTTGGCCATCTGATGGAACACTCTCTGCCAAAGCATGGTGCACAATCTTCTCTTCGAATGAGTGTACCAATGCTCCTGCAACCGACATTATCCACATTTTTATCAAATGGTACAGTTAAGTGTGCTTTGGCCCAGTAAGGATTGGAATGAAACCCACCATGGGTGTGGCAGATCAGGGAGACTCTTTCACCCCAGTCAACTGATTGCAGGGATCTGTTGGAAAAGGGCAAACAGCACAGGTTTTTTGAGACCTTTCCAAACAGTTGACAATAAAGGTGAAAGCATCTTGCACTAAATCTGACCACATGGTGGAAATGTGGCTATTTTTAATAAAATTAGCTCTTTCAAACTCAGACCGGTATGTTAGTTTGGGTACAATATTAATTACAAGGATAAGGTGGCATGATGTAGCACTTGTTATTAAATAGCAACATCTTGGCATAATATTGTCCTGGTATGCAGAAAACAATGTTGTCAGTGATTATTTTATTTCATTAATGAATCAATGTATTCATTTTTAAAGTTTATTCCACGGTGGATTGAATGGATTACTTGGGGGGAGGAGCAAAACTTGAAACAGTTTGAAATGTTAGAAAGTTAATCCAACCTTATCTCACTGGTGCTGATGGGGGAAATTTATCCTGTGCTGGTCACTCGCGCCGTGATGTTGGTGCGCTTCTTTTTTTCCACCTCCGTTATGATCAGATTCCATAGATAAGTCCTTGACAAAAACAAAAACAACAACAATTGTATACTGTACCAAAAACAGTGTGTTTGGGAGACGTGTAGATGTACTACGCGTACCTGATAAGAACTTGCTCCAGTAAACAGCCGTGAATATGTATGCGTAGATACGACACGCTACTTTTGAGCTGTGTGCCTACGGCGGTGCTAACGTCCACGGTTTCCATCACCTTTGATGGGACAGTCACCCCAGCTGACATGGCCACCACATACTGTATCTTATGACCATTCATTGCCTTCAATGATAAATTTGCCCCTGCCAACATGGCGCCCGCGCGGCCATCCATGTCCATGAGCATGTCATAGTCTACGGTACATCTGTGACAACAGTGGCACAACCCGGCAGAACTTGCACCTGTACCAGTTTCCGGTACTGGTAGTGCTGCTGAAGCCAATTGTGACCAATTCTGGAATAAGCAGACTTGGACAGCTACTGTGCATAAGTGGCATTTTGAATGGACTGGACACTATTTTCTTGCCATTAAATCCAGACCCAGATCACATAGAACCAAAATACATACACAATGACGGGACACACTAACAGTGCTTCAGCTCAGAAGTTGACATTGGTTATGGGGGGATTCGGTCCCTTTTTCAAGGGGATCTCATCAGTAGTTGAGGCAGACAGGCGTCTTTCCAACAACTTCTTACAGATGAGCTACTGCCGCCACAAATTTTATTTCCAAAGCATTTCATTACAAATGAGAGCGCCCTTAACCTGCAATGTCCTCTGATTATCCGTTGGGAAACAGTTGCAATAAAACTTCTCTTCCTGAGTTGCACTGGTCTCTAGCTTGTAACCCCCATCCTTGACACATGGCCATCTGCACTGGCATTTCTGGCAGTAAATGAGGGTGTGTTGCACAGGCCAGCCCAACCCAAGGCCAAGCCCTTCGCATTCTCTGCTACAAGCAGAGGCCCACCCTTGCACACCCCCTGGGGTTCACCGACACACTGCGGAGTCCCAGGGGAAACGTGAGGTAGTGGCGGTAGCATGGCCCTTCTGTTCTTTATCTTCGGCCCCCTCATTTCCCCTAACATACTTCATGCACATGACTTTATTCTCCCACCGCCATTTATCCATCAACCTTCCCAGCATGTCTAAAAGGAAGAAATTAATCTCTCCAGACCAACTCGGGTCAAACACTTTCACCTGTCTGTCACACAGTATTAACTTCTGTGATTAAATCAAAACATTACACTGTATGTAAAAAGAAAGGTTTATGAATGGGTCTACTAATATTAGGACTCGGATAGGGGTGAAAAAAAGCACGTGCATTACTCATGAAAACCCACTCATATTGTGTCACATTGCCATTACAGCCCCAGTAAAAGTGCCAATTCACTGGAAAAAGGGCCAATCAATACAGCCATCAATCACCGGACACCCATCACTCCAAATATCTATCCATCCTGACCCTCAGTACCTACGTCCGAGCAAACATTGAACACATTGATTGATCCACCACTACCCTCCTCTCCCACTCATGGAGCTTCATGCTGAGTGCAGAAATAACCAAGGACTAAAAAGAGCATTGACAGAAAAGGGAGTCAAAGTCACAGAAATGCAAGACAACACTACAGTAGTTGATACGGTTAATCAATAAAAGTGGGAGACAGAACGGAGAACTCGCCAATGTTATTTAAAAAAAAAAAAAAAAAAAAAGAGGAAGAGGGTGGAACGAGTGGGGGAGCAAAGACATGCAAGAAGTGTCAAACTAGTATTTCCTCTGCAAGCATTCAGATGCAGATGCAACTTTCACAGCTCACAATGGAGGCTGTCCGGACTGTGGGAGTGTGTGTGCACTTACGAGTGAGTGAGGACGATCACGTACGCAAAAGGGATTCTCACACATCTGCTAACCTGCATCTCTAATGGGGTGCAAATAGGCCTCCATTGTGCCACCTCACAGACCTGGCTAGAGTGACCTGAAACCTCCAATGATAACCTCAGGAACACCGGAGCACCCTCCTCGTTGTTGTTTTCATGCATGACGCCTGACGACTATGTAAATGTAGCAAACAAGAGAATATTCAACATTACAATGTTGACAGTATAACAATGTGTTTATTTTCATGCTCTGCAGTGCTGTTGTCCTTCACCAAGGACAAATTCAAACACTTTGATGATCAACGTCCAAGCCTTTCATGTGGATGTGGTAAATTCCTTATTTAATTTCGGTGATTTTATATGCTAGGACCAACCTTTTTGACCAGTACTTAACAAATAGTTTCATTTTTATCTCATTAAAATCATGCTAGGTAAATTAGAAAACACACAATTTACGTGTTCCTCGAAGTAGAAATATACAGTAATTACTCAGTCAAAAAACTTTTAAATTACAAATTGACTGGTCTTCAAACCCTCAAAAATGTCTTTTAAGTTCAAATTTCAAGAACTTCGAGCAAGTGTACATTTTTTTGGGGGGGTGGGGGGGCTACAACAGTAGAAATGCCGCTGCATTATGCATTGATACAAAACCACAATAACCAGTGCTAAACTCAAAGCTCATTGACAACTGGAAACGACACTCATGATGGCAAGGTAGTCATTTGGTAGGTATCAAGTTTGATATTGAGCTACAGTATATATATATATATATAGCTAACTAGCAAGCTATATAGAATAGATAATATGATGGATTGATATTATTGAACCCTCATATCAGATTGGCTCCAGCACCCCCTGTGACCCTGTTCAGGATAAGCAATGGATGGATGGATATCAATATCTCAAATGCATTTGACTTGACCTATCTATTTTTTTACATCGTATCGTCATGTGCGAAGGTTGAAAAAGTAACAAACTAGCTATTTTTCCAACATAAGGAGTAGAAAGTACAGATATGTGTTTTCAAATGCTGGGGCTCAAGACAAAAAGTCATCAGCAAATTACATACTAAAGTAAAGTACAAATAGGCCCACCTGAAAAATCTACTCAAGAAAAAAAATATTTGGTACATCTTTACTATCCATCCTCCACGACCAATATTTAGTAAATGGTCAAATAAAGTTAAAGCACTGTCCTTATTTTAATGGTTGTCATCTTTATTTTGCCTCAAACTTTTCCGCTGCACTTTGAAAATGTACTCGCCACTTTCATGGTGCTTTGCTAAATTCAGTATGGGCTTACCCCTATCTCTTCAAATCCAAACATTGCTAAAAGATGTTTTAACTAAGCAGTAGCAGCTTGCTTGAGCCTCAAATAGACTGAAATTAGTTTTAACTAGGAGCAGTTGCTGACTTGAAGTTTGAGGGGCGGGGGTGTGAGCTTTAACACAGGGGGTGCAATATGGGGTCACACAAGAGGGAGGAGGGGTGTTTTTTTTCCCCCTTCTCGCTCTCCCTCTCTGCCTCTGTGGCTCTTGGAAAGAGAGGAAGGAAGCCAGGAGCGAGGCAGAGAGGTCCAAAAGCGAGCGAGGAGGAGAGCTGGATAGTGGGGGAGGGACTGGAACAAGAGCGCTCCTTATTGGCGGGCCGTGGATCTCTCCCTGCGTGGATTGACCGAGCTCGGGTCAAATTACACCATTTGCCGTGTCTTCTTAGTTTGTTTTTCTCTCAGCCAGGAGAAGTTGGAGCGACGCGCGATATATTCGCCTCCTTTTCTGTGGGATTACTGCATGTGGATACACAATAATAAAGCATTCAGATGAGGTGAGTTGTTTTCGCAGAAATGCATGCGCCTATTACTTCACTTTATCGCTGAGTGAAAGTCGAATTAGTAAACGGGGGAGACTGTGGAGGTGAAATAATGCATCTATGTGTAATTGTTTGCTGTACAGAGTGTGTGTATACATTGTGACGGATTTTTAACTGCTGCTTTTTTACGGGTGGCTTTGTACTGTAACCGCTTGGTTCCGTTTGGACGCGTCTCCTTTGTGAGGAATATTAACTTCTTTGAAGCTTTGTCTTTGCGCGTCACTGATTTCGTTTTTTTTTTTTTTTTGGTAAGGGCTGAATCAGTTACCAGTATGTATTAGACTAAATACACCCGAGCTGTGAAGTGAAGTGGCTTTGCTACTTACGATTCTCTACACCCGTGAGTTGGAGCTTTAATCGTCTTTTATTTTATAATTCTATGATTACTATTGCATAAATGTCCAAAGTTATTGGAGGTGCTGCTGCGGGGGTGTGTGAGGGAGGGGACGACAGTCTAGTTACTTCCACAGGAGAGTGCGGTGGTCGTGGATCTGCTTTGAGCATCAGTCGTCACATTGAAAGGGGCCCCGGAACCAGGACGAAAGAGTCCCCAAAAATATTTAGATAAAGCGAACGGAGCCGAAAAACTGGATTTAAAACGTTAAAGTGTGTTCGAATGGAACTTAACATAAGAAGAATCATACACACTGGGTCTTTTTTTCTTCTTTAAATGGATTACCAGAGGAATATTCGGACATTCGGGCGGATTGCTCCGTTCATGATCTTAAGGTAGGTTGCCCAGAGATTTAAAACAAATCTGTTCTGTGTCGTTTTTGGGCAAATAGAAATTTTTAAGATTAATTTAGAAATTGGCCTCTTTAGCCGTTATTTCACTGGCGGAGAATAAATACGGTATTGTGTCGTTAAAGGGACTTGGAGAGTGTTTTAACAATTTCACAGTGTCCAATTTATTCGGTTTTTACTTATTTATTAGTTTTATATTAAATCATTGAAGTGACCCAATTAAACACAAGCACCCTCTAGTTGGTAGTGTTACTGTTATCTCTTTGCTCATTTATTGCTCTTTAAGGTGCCTTTTATTAATTGAACGCCTTGCACTTCTCTATCGCTGCCGGATAATAGAAAAGCTCCATCACTGTTGTCTCTCCTCATGTGTCCCCTCCTCTTTGTTGTCTTTTGTATCCAGTCCCACATGTGGACACCAAAGGCTGGTGAAAAGATTTATCACGGATGGAACTTTGAATGCCTTTACACCCCAGACTGGACAATACAAGTGTTTGTGGCTGCGCTGATGCATGGATGTGTGCGTAAAAGTAATTGAGAAAATAACCCCTCCCAAACTAGGAACATTACCACTCAATGCATGAAATGAATTAACGTTGGAAAGAAAGAAATAGTGTCGGCCATATTTGGTGAACAGACGTGTTCAATTTTTAGTGGATTGAGGGATTGGTGTAGAGTGCTAAATTATCTGTGAAAATCTGCCATTTGTAGGAATTAAGTCTAGGATATGAGCCAAAACAGCGCTCAAACTGCTTATTCTAAATAGATATGAGCACCTGAAATGTGGAAAATATTAAAACGTTCTAAGTAGTATTTTTTTTCTCTGAGAGTAATTCCCTCACAGAAACATTTTCCCAGAAACATTTTACCATACTAGTTTAGACAATTATGAACTTGATGTTGGCCAAAGCCATTTCAACCAACCATGGGTTGGCTGAAAGCTCAGCTCATTGCTGTGCCTCAATTCACCTCACTGGCCACCGGGTCAGAATTTTGTGACCAGAACGACCACAGTTAACCTCCACTACAGCCAGATGTAACCCGGAACAGCAACCATTAAACCCGAGGGTTCTATGTTAACAACCTCATAGAGGATCCAAACTGCAGCTTGAAATCAGAATCATTCAATGTTGAAAGGACTGGGTGATAAAAGTTCCACCAGTCAACATGTTTACATGGTTTGCTTTGTTCCTTCAAAGCCCCTTTTGGTAGCTCCCAAATGTGCTCTACTGAGCGTAGATAGGGCCAGTGACTGGGGGTGGGGCCCCATTGTATTGGTGTGGCCAAAGCCCCCCTTTGTTTCCTGGTCACACCTGCAACTCGGCCCATTTGTGCACGCTGCTGCCTTGTGCAACGTTTCGCCTGTTTCACTCTTCCTCTTGCAAAGGTTCACAAGAAAAGGGTCAGGGTTACTTTCCAGGGGTATGGTCCTTAAAAATTGCACGCCCAAACCCCTCAAAAGTGAATCCAGGTTGTAGTAATAGCTTAGGCCAGGGTCACTGAGACTGGAGTGAATATATACATAATAATCACTCCTGGGGCAATAATGTGATCATCTGGCCAATTCTCGTGTGAGGCTACATCCGGACAGCTTCCTTATTTATGCTGTATTTCGCTATACAGGCATGGCTCCCAATAAATTCACCTAGGTGTTGCTCTAGGATGTCTTGCAGTATCTTCGTTGCAAGCTCTCGGCCAAAGATGTTTCCCTTAGTCAGTTGTTGATGTTTGAAGTTGGCAATAAACCTCAACAAAGTGGCGCATTCTTTTGCTGCCGCAAGTAAAGACTGTTTGTGATTTAAGTGGTTGTGGCAAAGCATTCGGCCAATGGGAAACCACCCTCGGATGCAGCTACAATTGTGCAGCGCTACTTCCATTTGAGTGAGGTATATTTTAATGTCTAGCAGAAATACCACCATTTCTTCACATGGATAATTCATTGTGAAAAGCTTTGCAAATTGTTCACGAAACACCGAATGCTGTTGAGTGACAACATTGTGAAGCTTGGCTTAGCTCAGGCAGACACCAAGCGTGCCCTGTGTGTACCAGTCCCCATTTTGAAGACCTAGGATGAGTTCACTTTGAGGGGGTTTAAATTGTTGCGATTGGACTCGTAAGCCTACTGTTTCCCCAAAGTGGTGCCCGATTATTTTCCTGCTGGGGTTTTCTGCACCCCTCACATTTAGAACTGAGGCACGAAACGTCACACACCGCTGTTGTTTGCCGTCTTTATTATGAGCACCAAATCGGACTTTCCTGCAAAGCAGCAACAACGGTGCGGTCGAAGAGAGGTGGCGGCTGACATATGCCAGCGAAAAGTGCAGCACACAGAGAGAATATGTGTTAATCTGTCATTTTAGGATCATAACACTAAATCCTCAGTTTTAACTACCAGAATTGGGCTAGAGACCCCCTACACCAAATCCACCAGATCCCAGCCCCCCCCCCCCCGGCCCAACCCCCAAAGCATCAACCCC